TAGCTCAGTGACAGCGCTGTGCGGGGAGAATGACAGACGCTAACCCCGCTCCTTCTTCTCCCGTATAGGTTGAGTGACTGGCGCTTTCCCCGCCCATCATCACTATGTGACTGGCGATGACCCCGCCCCCTTCTCTTCTGTAGCACGGTGACTGACAGTCTCCGTCCCCGCCCCCGTGCTCCCATTGGCTGTCCCCCCTCCTCCGTGCTGTGTTATTTTTCGAATATAAATGGTGCGGAGGATCGGGGAGACAGAAGAGGCCAGGCCGGGCGGAGAGTGGATATATCAGAGCCGAGGGACAACAGGCTGTGCCCGGCCGGCTACTGCACCATTTACCGGAGGACTATGAGCGCCCTATAGCTGCGGTACCCCCCCGCCTTCCCCGCACTGCTTATCCCGCATCGCTTTGTACATCGCACCCAGCGCATCGCACATCCCGGACCCTCATCATCATGGAGATGGAGAAGATGCTGAACGACTTCAGTCCCAGCCGCCCCCAGGGGCCCCTCATGCGGCCCTCCAGCCTGCTGCCCTGCGGCCTTCCCAAAAAAACCTGTCATTGTGAAATACATACAAGTGAAATGTGTGGTATTGTATCTATATGTTGCCCCCCTTCCTGTCCCGGCACCCAGCATGTAATCATCATTTGGGGGGGTTACCCCTGTCCTGGCACCCTATTCCCCTGCCCCCATCCTGGCATTGTTGCATGCAAGTCACATTTTGGATATTGTCTTGATCTGTTTCCCCTTCCCCCCTCCTCCCTGTCCTGGCACCCTGCCCCCCATATATTCTGCCCTGGCACTGCTTGTACTCCATGTTGCCCTCAGTGTGCATTGTATGATCTGGGGCCGTGTACTGGGGCCGTGTACTGGGGACGTGTACTGGGACGTGTCCGCACATTTCACCGATCCTTCTCCATCATAGTTCTATATCAGTACAGAGAGGAGATGAATGTATCCCGTCATCCTCACCATGTGTGGTCACTGCGCTCATCAATACAGTATATATATATTCTTCTGATGGTTGTCCTCCATGTGTTGGATCCCCTTTATTTTCCATGTGTTGCATCCCCTGTATTCTCCATGTGTTGGATCCCCTGTATTCTCTGTATTGGTCTGTTCTGGCTTGGTGTGCTTTAGCTGCCCCACCCCCCAATTGGATTCCCCATTACACCAGCTCAGTGTTGTTCAGCCCCCCTCCTTCCAGCTGTGGGTGAAACTACAAATCCCATGATGCATCTCTCTCCTGGGAGTCATGTCTGTGGCTGTGAGAATCTTGCAATGCCTCATGGGATTTGTAGTTCCACCCCAGCTGGGGGGGCCGGAGTTTGTCCACTTATAACTTTGTGTGTGTATATAGATATATATATAGAGAGAGAGTGTGTAATACTGTACATAGAATTCCCCCATCTGCAAAATTCTCCTTCCCTAAGATTTCCTCTCACTTCCTGACCTGGTGACAACACAAAAGGAAGTGAGCAAAAATCTCACCAAAGGGGAGACAACACGACAATCACTCCTAGCAGCAGAATGGGGGAGGGTAAGAACGTCTGCCGGCTGTTTGCTGCTCCCTGTACCCCTGTTGATTTGACTTCTTTCCTGTGACTTCCTGGTGTGTCACGGGCACAGGAAGTAGTGCTGTCAGGACACAGCTCTAACCAAAGTAGCGTAGCGCCCTTTACAATAGCGGCATCGCTGGTCCGCCGGCAGGCTCTGCATTGGTACTAATGGCGGGCTCGGCTCTCTGTATTCTGGGAAGGGATTCAGCACCTTCCAGGGGACATTTGCTGAGGTGCGATGTTTTCCGGGGGCCGCAGTTGTGACATTTGTCGTCCCGTGTCTTCTCACACACACCTTCTACCTGGTGACAAAGGAAGATCGCACCTCCCGCCAACAAACACCTTTTATTGTTCCTGGACGGGGGGATGTGTGATCGCTCCTCAAACACTTCCAAACATTTGTTCCTCGTGTGTCCCCGGCCACAGGAGAGAGGAACACTGCCCCCCCCCCCCTGTCCCGGGTCTGTAATGGCGGCTCTGACCACCAACAATGCTTATTACTGACCCTCTGATTAGAAATCATGGCCGCATGACCATATTTGGTCAGCGCCGTTGCCCTTATATGGTCATGTGGCCATATAAGGTCAATGATTGTATTGTTTTTATTTCAGCAATGAGAAGTATTCCCGCCCCCCTCGTCCTCGCCGTGCGTATTCGTCTCTGCGGTTGTCATGTGATGTCTTTTTTGTTTTTATCGCCAATTCACAAAGTCTTTTCTTTTCCGTTGCAGCCTCAGCGACACGCCAAAGCGCGGCGCCATCACCTACCCGGTCCTGACCTCCAGCTTGATCCGCACCTCTTCCTCCGACTCGTCCGACTCCGGTGAGTACGCCCGGGCGATCGCAACCGTCCAAGAGGGTCACAGAGCGGGTAGTGGAGGTATAATCCCTATCCCGTGTGGGCGGAGTTTCCCCTACACCCATTCTAGAGGGGGGCGTACACCGGTCTGTAATGGCGGATCTGACCGCCCAAAAAAAAAGACCTCATATGGCCGCATGACCATATATGGTCAATGTCATTGACCTTATATGGGCATGTTACCATATAAGGTCAATGATGTTACTGAAATGAAATATCTCAATGCCAGGAATGAGATTTGCAGCCATGTTTCCTTTGCTTCCGGCTTAGCGGCACGGCTTTCCTGTCCCAGGCACCCGGTCTGACGGTGAAACTGTAGCCACGCTATATGGCCAATTGCAATTGATTTTATCTCAGCGGATTCCATTTTTCGCTATTTAAAGTGATGTCCCGCCTTTTTTATTTGGATCGGAGATCTCTAACCTCTGTGTGTGTCTCTCTCTTCCATCAGGTTTGTGTTTGGATGATGTCAGCCCCGTCACTGCCGAAATGTAATTCTTTTTAATGCATTACACAATGGGAGAAGCCCGACCTTCCCATCACATGGAAATAGGTAGCAGGCAGATTTATAGTGTTATTTTGTTAACTGTAAATAAAGCTGATTGGGAAAAAAAAGTTGTGACAATGCGTTGCAGAATGTACAATGCACGGGTCAGTGCTGTGTGCACCATAGCGCGCACCCACTGCCTTTATACACAATAACCATTAACAGGGGGAGAAAAAGTTGCTGGAATAGTGCAACTCGGATT